TTATTGGGTTGAGAATTCTTCCTGAATTGTTTTCTTATAACCCATATAAGGATGTAAAGTCCATTTCAACATAACTCTAGATTGCTAGAAGACCGAAGGTCAGCATTCGAAGGAACGCCAGTCTAGCAGCCTCGCTAAAGTTCCCCTGGAAGCTGAACCCGCTACTGAGGACATCAATAAAATATAGTTATGAAAAAGAAACTCAACTCTGGTCTTTGCTGAGTGCAATTAGAAACCGAGGGCGAAGCCCAAAGGTTTTTGTAGAACGAACATAAGAGTAGGAAGAGAGACAGTCATGGCATTCATACTAGCACGTGAATAATTGGGACAAAGAAAACCGGAAACAGTGTACATATATATTTATATATAAACATATATATCCCAAGATGTCTTTCAGTGAAGACAAGCCCGGGAGGGTGCAGCGACATTCACTGAGTGACTCAAGGGCAAGGAATCACAAACGATCTGGGACTTCATAGACGGTTGTGGTCGCCATGATGCTGACCAGAGATCATATAAGAAATTGTCCCAAATACAATAATTGAGAGACATAAACAAAATACAAGTCACTTACCTCACTGTGCTAATAAGTATAAATACCGTATATAAAATCCTCGTGGTCTTAGATTTCAGCAATTACAACACAAATTCACGGAGCCTTCTTTTGTGTGTATTGACAGCTGAATCGCCAGGCAAGAAGATGAAGGTTGTGATGAGTATGATGGGGGGGGAGGAGGGGTTTTGAGAATTGCAATTAAATGCCAGGTAACGACGTGTCCTCCTAATATTACTTATTAAGTAATTAATAGATGTTTTAATTGGCGTGTATGTTGGCCTGGCGAAGTTAGCTAGGAATTAACATAGCTAGGTAACATGCTGAGCGTCGGATTCTGTGTTGAACAAAAGAACAATAACGTAGCTCACAGCTTGGCCTAGTAAGGAGTGATGAGATCTTCATGTTTCACCCTCCCTCCAGCTCCCCGCCTCCCAAGATCACACACTAACCCAGCCCACGAAGAAATTTTAAAATCTCCTTATGTTTTTTATCTTATGGTATTTTTTTTCACATTATGTATGAACGATTGTGTATGCATGTAACTGAATAAATTATGAGTTGAACAATAACATAGCTCACAGCTCAGCCTCCTGCTCTGAGTGCTACTGGAGCATTCAGAGACTGCTATACAATTATGTGCCATCTCTATGGATATTATTCCCCGTTATCCCCATTTAGATATATCTGTACAGCATGCCTTAAAAATATGCAGAGGTTAGGGTTCTCAAAATGGCCGTGAATAGCCAAATCTGCAAATAACATTTGCTAACCTGGGGGGGAGGGGGATACATTTTACTCCTGTGCAAAAATTTAATCCCTTTATGTGTTTAATGTTAGGACAATTGTTTCTTTTACCTGTATTTTGTGTGTGTGTGTGTGTAATAATAATAGTAATAATAAACGGTTTATTAAGAGTTGCAGCCGTGGCTGAAAATATACAGGCATACATTTGATTTAGACATATGATATAATATGCATTGAACACATTTACAGGGCTGTACAATACATAAATCAGGAGTTGTTTATTATTTTAACAATTAATGGGATGGTGCTGTTCTTATATCTATCGCGCGGCTCTTATGGGCTGAATTTTGTTGTAGTGGCGGACTGCGCGAAGTTGGGTGGGGGGGCTGCGGCAGGAGGTATGATGACGAGGGTGATGCAGTAGTCCACTGCCAAACCTTCCAGTGCTTGGTGGTGGAGGTCACTGAGATGGCATTTCCAGGGTGGAGAGAGCCGCTGGTGTAGCCGGAGTATTCTGCTACCACTATGATTCTGCAGGCCCTTTCTGTACCTTCTCTAGCTGACGTTGTGGTGGAGTTGAGAGAAGACTCACCAGGTGGTGACGACATGTAAGTTTGGGGAGAATAAAGGCTTGTAGATGGTCCTCAGCTATGGTGTGGTCCCAATGACCTAAGTCGTCGAGCATGTAGAGACGGCAATGAGGCTGCCTTGACTGTGTTATTTACATGGGCCCGTCAAGTTTGTTGTCTATAGTTACACCCAGGAGTTTGGCAGACTGCACCAGCGAGAGGATGGGCACCCACTGTGACTGCTGGGGCTTGCACTGGAGTGGTGGTATGGTATTGATGTGCATGACTACGGTTTTGGTGTGGTTGATGGTGACCTTGTTCTCCGTAGTCCATGCCTGTAGCCTGTCCAGGGTGCTTTGGAGCGATGAGTAGTCTGGTGTGGTGTGTGTGTGTGTGTGTGTGTGTGTGTGTGTGTGCGCGTGCGTGCGTGCGTGCGTGCGCGTGTGTGTGTGTGATTACTGTCTCTGGAAATCAATGGCTCCTTGTCCCAGCTGCAAAAATGCCAGCAACTTTAAAACTTCCCTTAGACATTCTTGGATACATCCAGGGTGTAATCCGTGAATAATCGAGGTCTCATTTAATTAAAAATACGCGAAATGTTAGGGCGTGCTGTAATTTCTTGTTATCCCTCATTTATCAATCATTTTGCATGAATGATGGGTTTTCAGGAATGCATCCCAATTGTTAAACAAGAGATATCTGTACATACAGTGTAATCGCATGTCAGCGAGTTTGGTCGGACGATTGCCATCATTTATGCCAAAAAAAATTTTCATAACTCGGGAGATGGTCTTAAAACATCTCCATCGTTCAAGAGAAATATTGCAGATCAGGAGATCGTAAACCTGGGATATCTGAATACATTGTTACTATTTTTTTCAGTTTGTAGAAATAATAGAAGGGGGGCTGGAAGATAACGAGTACGTGTCATTACTGTCCTGGGTCCTCAACGTGTATGGTGGGAAGGAGCTGATGGGTTACCCGTCGCTTAACATCAACGTGGTCAAGCTTGGACCGCTTCTGGATAATAAGACACTGGAAGATCTTATATCCAAGTATCTCGAGGTCAGTTATTTTCTTTTATTTTTATATATGTTCAGTGTGATGTGCGGTACTGAATACAATAATAACTCTGGAGTTTAGACTTCTTATATCCAGGTTTAGGTGTACAGTATCCCAGTCACAGTTGTGGCCAAAGATTATGGTCTATTAGCTTATTAAGCATATAGAAAGTTGCTCTGTCCTGACTGGTATAAAATAGGATTTCAAGAACGATCCTTCATTTTATTGAGAGATGGAATGTTATGATAATGAAACACAAGTTTAGTAGTTTATTTCTATATTAATTCATTATATTTTTCTTTACAGAATGTAAATAACAATTATGATTCCTGGATGAGTAAGGCTTTAGAAATTGAGGAGAAAGAATGGTATCGTTCTGAACCCCCACAACAAGATGCTGACTCACACTACAAGACAGAACTTCCACAACTAATACATGACATGATACGTCAAAACCTTGATGTAGCTGCGACCATCAGGTAACTTGGTATAACCCAGTGAATCATTTATAAATGAGATGCAATGACTGATGCAACTCAAGTTATATCTCATACATCATCTCTTACAACAGGAGTGAAGATGTGTGGAGCCTTGATAAAACAGAGTAACTAATACTGAGCAGAGCACTGCCTGCTTATTGTACCATTTTAGGGTTTATGAGGATTATTTAAATTTTTAGTAAAACAGAGTGAGTTTGCATTTAAAAATTTGGATTGCAAAGCATATTCATTGAACTGTATGCCTGACAGATCTTACTGAGAACTATCCTAAGGAATAGTCTGTTTATAGAATCAGCCAGTAGCAACCATGTGGCTTATGTTTGTGCCACAACCTGAAATTGTCAAAAATTTATTTACAGGGTATTGTACAGTGTTAAGTATTGAGACATAACCAGCTATGATACAGCATTACAAGCAACGGCAAATGAAAAGTGTGTTTGTGTGTAATCTTGTTTCTGACTTCACTGTAATATACAGTGAACCCTCAAAGATCTGGACTAAAAGGGGGGACCACCTGTCCAAAAAAGCCAATTGTCCGCATCTTCCGGCAAATTTACTGAATGTATAAAAATGATAAATAATTATATAAAAATCACTAAAAATACAGTATCAAATTTTAAGGCATATAAATCACCTCCCCCATTTTAGCACAGAGTATTTAAGAAAAACTTTTGTGTGTATTTTCTTCCTGTAGCCATAATTTTCTTAAAATAATATGTACAATACCAGGAAATGTGAGGAATTAATAAAAATAATACCAATAAATAAGTTACCAAAAAATGCTGTATTGCTAAATCAGTAAATAAAAGCCAAATGAAAGTTTAACACAGTCAGCATCTGCATACACTCCCTGCTTCATCATAACAATGGAGACCAGCTGGAACACCAATTCCTTAGCAACGCCCCCACCCCCTACACTCTGTGCTCTCCTCCTTCTCCGTCACTGAGCCAGCTAACTCGTGTTTGCCCTTACTCCATGCTTGACCAGACCGTATAAAAAATTAACCCAAGCACAATATCTGAGAGACAATCAAAATAAAAGTCACTCAATTTCCTCAACGTGCTAAGATGTATAAATACCAAAAGTAAAATCCTTGTGGCGCTTATATTTTAGCTATTACAACAGAAATTAGCGGCTTTTCCTTGTGCGCATAGCTGATTCACCAGGCAAGAAGATGACAGTAACAATGCATGCGGAGGGGTTTTGAGAATTGCAATTAAATGCCATGTAGCGATGTGTCCTCCTGATATCACATATTTTAGTAATTATTAGATGTTTTAATTGCCTGTATGTTGGCCTGGCGTAGTTAATGCAAGGCATATACATACATAGGTATAAAGCTAGATGTCGCATTCTGGATTGAACTAAAACAACCATAACACCACACAGCTTGGCCCAGTAGCCATGATTAATCACTATTAAGCACTATTATATCAGTAAACTTAATAATAACAGTAAAAATAGTTAAATATGTCAGGGAGTGGGGAGAGTTACAACAGCAGAGGACTCTAACTAGCAGTTACTGACGCCCCTTACTCACTCCTATTGCCTGCCAGACGATCAAAATAATTTATGGGAGAATACATATCTCGTAGTCTAATTTGAAAACGGTGACGGCACAGTGATAAACAAATTATATAAACCATGCACTTACCTATGATAACATAATAAGAAACATTGTATCAATACGAGAGTGAATGATATAATATTCCCACAAACAACAATTGTCAACTCTGTTTATGTTTCCAACCTCTGCCACCTGTGTCCTAAGATGATCTTTGCTCTGTTTTGGGAATGCCTTTTAGGGAGACTTCTTAGCCCCATGAACCCCAAAATTTTGTCTGAATCTTCCGAAATCCAGATTTACCAGGTCCGAATCTTTGGGGGTTCACTATACCTAGTGGGATGAGGTTCAAGTGGCACAAAAATGAAGAATTGATTCCAAATTCCAAATTTTAAAGCTGAGCCTGTAGCTTGGTGGCTTGTGCAGTGTGCTCACTAAGCCATTGGTCTAGATCAGGGATGCACAACCTTTCGGGATTGGGGCTACATCAGAAGACGGACTCCTAAGCTGGGGCTAAAATTTAGGCAGGTCCTCGTAATTAGATAATTAAGTCATACATTTAAAAATTTTATTCAAATGTATTATAAATACTTTTGCTAACCATCAATAGGCTGTTGGCAGTATATGTCATACAACAGATGTTGGTTAATGTATGTGTTTTCTCACAACTAAGTTATTACAGTGAAACTTGGAAAGTTTCTTTGGGCTTATTATGTGAGATGAGCTTCTTCATGTTGGGATCTAACTTCATGATTACCAGTCACAAAATGGAGTGCAGATTCTTGTCATTCATTGTACTGTACTTCGGATCTTTGACTTGTTGAGATTTAATAGACCGAAGTAAATGGAGCTAAATAAACTAACTTTAATAGCAACCTTCTGTTACAAATATGGACACTGATCTTGAGGCAAACACTTGTAGAAATTGAATGTTCCTTTCCATAAACTTTGCATGAAGTACTGTATGTCTCAACTCACCTTTAATGAGTTGTGCCTGAAACAGCCTGAGCTTTTATTCAAATGCTGTTTGCAAGTTGTGAAACAAGCTGGTTACATCCTTGATGTTTGGCATTCAAGTTATTTAAATGACTGGTGATAACAACAAGAAATGCCAGATTGCAGAGCCACTCCACCAGCTCTGGAGTTGCTTTTCCCTTTTCATTGAGAATTATGATCATTTCATCCAAGAGGTTAATGAATCATTGCAGTGTATTTCACAGGACTAAACCACATGACTTATGAACAAAATGTACTCAGCTTCAATATCTTTTAGAAACAGCTTGAACTGGCTATCATTCAAGGCTTGTGATTTTAAAAATTTGACAGTTGAAACTACAACTTCCATCATATTTTCAAAGTTCTAGTCTTTTTCTACAAAAAAATTGTAGATGTATGAGTGTAATGCAGTAAAACTGTATCAGTTCATTTTTATGCTGACCAAGGTGTTTGAGTGAACAGTGGGATCATACCAGTATGTGTACCATTAGTTGTTGTACTGTATCAACTAGTTTATCCATATTAACTCAATAGAGCTAATTCAGTGAACTGTGATCAAGTTCTTCATGAATAGTAAAGTGATCAGTTACACCACATACTGTATGAAATATTAATAGCTGAACTGTTGATGTCTTGCCAGTAGATTTGGCTGCTACAGAAAAGGACACAAATTCATTAGCTTTCTCTTCTAGCTGCTTTAACACATTACTTGATAAACCACTAACTCTACATCACACTGTCATGTAATTCAAACTGATGTTTTCAAATATCTTCACTGCATTTGACATAGTTTTTGAGCACTGTCACTGTCAACTTAAAATTACAATAAATTTACAATTATCAAAATCAGTGAGAAATAAGCTTTGTAGTTTAGTTTAACTGAATACAGCCAGTAATGATTTTCAAGTCTTAGGTCAGAGTCTTTTTATATCTACAGCATGCCCTTAAAATTTGCATGGGTTTGGGTTTCAAAATGGCTGCGAATAGCCAAATCTGCGAATAACATTTGCTGACCAAAGGGGTGTACATTTACTGCTACAAAGAAATGTATATCCTTTATGTGTTTTCCTAGGACAATTATTTCTTTTACCTGTATTGTAAATATATGTGTGTGTGTGTGTAGAAACACACACACACAAAACACGTACAAATAAATAATAATGGGAAAATCCTCTCACAAATAATCAGAAACAAGACAACAAAATGTATCGAAATGTAGAAAAATTTTTAGAGTCAACCCTCAAGTCAACTCCTTGTTACTGTCTCTAGAATGAGTGGCTCCCTGTCCCAGCCACGAAAATGCCAGCACCTTTAAAACTACCAGCAGACATTCTTGGGTACATCCAGGGTGTCTTCCGCGAATAATTGAGGACCGCTAATTGTCAGGGCATGCTGTATTTCATATTTTATTTATTAATTTCTTTTAATAAGATACCAAGGGCTGCAATAGTGTTTGCCTAAGGGCTGCAGGTTGCGCATCCCTGGTCTAGACCAAGGAGACCTGTGGGTTGGTGTTGGAATGGCATCCAGTCATAAGACTTTGCTTCATCATGCCTGATGGGATATGATAACTGGGTCAATAAAGCTATTGCCCATCCCTGGTCTCTGCTGCATTAGTTATGGTTTGTGGTGGTGAGCCTAGGGAGGGTCATCCAAACAGCTATCACTAGGTTTCTCAGGCAGGTGGAAAAGAAAATGTCCAGAGTTTATAATATTCATGTTCACCATTCAGGTGTGAGTGATGTCCCATATAGAGAGATACAATAGTTGGGTGTTAAAAGAAAAATTTTTAACAGATGGAACTACTTTTGAGTGAAACTATTTACAATGAGACAGACCTGTAAGAGAATATTAATAATATACATTCTCTTCCTTTTCAGCTCAGAGGTGCAAGTTCAGGTGTTGATATCAAGCTTAGAACAAGTACGACTATTTGCTATAAAATTTCAAGCTGCCGTGACTCGTTATAGGACACTTACTACGCTGACAGATCACAGGTAAATCACCCCACCCTCTTACCCCTCCCCTTTCATTTATGCTTAAGTTTGATTCAAGAGTTATTTTGTTAAACGAAGGAAAAATTATATTCTTGTGTACATAAAACCTTTATACAGTGGTCCCTCGGTTAACAAAATTTCTGTTAACAAATTACCTTCCATAAGAATCTTCATTTCGGTTAACTAACAAAAATTTGGTTAACGTAAATTTTACTTAAAATGTTTCAACATGCTTTGCTTGCTCACCAGCTGAAGATTAGTCTGCCAATGCAGAAATCGGTTCTAGGGCTTACATTCATAAAATTGGAGTAAATATCAAGAAGGTTGTACTAATCAATAATTTTCCAAGTTTTATATTAAAATTTTTAGTCATTTTAACACTTATTTAATATAATTGCAAGTATAGGGAACTAGTTTTGGTGTGCCCATCAGCCACTTCACTCACCCACCAAAGGCCCTCAGTTTGTGTCTCTGTTCAGTGGAGGAAACATCTTACTTGTGGGTCTCTTGAACACAGAGTATTTTATCGTTTTTACAGTACAATTATTGGTCATTCTGAAATTTATTTAACATATTGACAATATATAGTGCAGTGCAGTGTTGATTTAAAGAAAGTAATCTTGAATTACACCTAGTGAACTTAAAATTTTATGGGTGAAATGATCTGTATCAAGCATGGGGTGATTTTCCACTCCCACTTCCTTCTCTTTCTCCTTCTCCTCCACCCCACTTCTAATTCCCATCATCATCATCAACCAGGAGCCTTCTACATACACACCTCAAATTAAGTGCATTTTTTTTTTACTTTGTATGTAATTTTCGGTGAGCTGGAACCAATTACTCAAAATCCCATTGAAACAATGGTTTTGGTTAACTAAATTTTCAGTTAACAAACAACCTTCTGGAACGAAATGTGTTCGTTAACCGAGTGACCACTGTACAGTAATATCTCCGTTAACCGGTATCCCTCAAACCCGGAACTCTCCAATACCCAGAATTGAAATTTGCTCGGAAAAGCATTCCCAAAGCTGGAATTTAAACAAAATTCCGGCTTTGGGAACAAATTTTCCGAAGTAGAAAAATGAGAGCATTTTCTGAAAATGTCTTGAATAAAGACAAAAGCTAAATTATTTTTGGAAGGACCAGACCTGGCTCAATGTCAGGTGGAGGTAAGATGGGGATTAGTGGTCTCATATTACTGACCTTCTGATGGAATGTCAGGTCACCCTTTCTTGGGTGGGGGATTAGTGGGTCTCATGACCTGAAGATGTCTTGAATAAACAAGAAACCTCAAATATTTTTAGAGAGGTTGTGATAAATATAAGTATAAATGAGCAAAGTTGTATCCCTTCAACATTATATTACATAACATTTTAAAATATGGGTAGAAAGCAGAAAGGTGTGGGTAATTAGAGAGATGGAGTTGAAAGGAGTGGTAACATGCACCGGTGTTGCTGAGTGATGGCTCTCATAGCGATCTTTTATTCACCATGCAGTCACACAACAAGACCTCACTGGATGCTTGTTGTCTTAATTCTCTTGTGTGTGTGTGTGTGTGTAATAATAATAATAATAATAATAATTGACGGTTTATTGAAAAAGTTCTGCAGCCCGAAGGCTGAAAATATACATTGGACATAAATGACTTATTACATACATTGGTGGTTTAACAAAAGCCTTCGTTAGAGAAAGGTAAAGGAACATACAGTGAACATACAGATTAACGTAGGTGTTGAACAGCAAAAACGTAGTGTAGTAACTCCCTCCCAGATGGTGTTAGGAGGGACCTCACGTGGTGTAGTAGTTCCCTCACAGATGGTGTTATGAGGGGCCTCACGTGGTGTAGTAATTCCCTCACAGATGGTGTTATGAGGGGCCTCACGTGGTGTAGTAATTCCCTCACAGATGGTGTTATGAGGGGCCTCGTGGTGTAGATTCTCCTAGATGGTGTTATGAGGGGCCTCACGTGGTGTAGTAATTCCCTCACAGATGGTGTTATGAGGGGCCTCACGTGGTGTAATTCCCTCACAGATGGTGTTATGAGGGGCCTCACGTGGTGTAGTAATTCCCTCACAGATGGTGTTATGAGGGGCCTCACGTGGTGTAGTAATTCCCTCACAGGTGGTGTTATGAGGGCTCACGTGGTGTGGTTCCAGGCCTTCCTATCGTAGACGGATTAACACATCGCTGGTAGTTGGGTCTCACTGGCCGTTATCACTGGGTACCTGGGACCTCACTGTGTGAAAGGTCAACTTGGGTACCACTGTTACTGTTGAGTTGTTCTCACTGACTTAAGCACTGTTCACCACTGTTCACCTCTGTTTAACACTGGTTCCATTTCTTTCCTAAATGAAATAGTAACTTCTGGCGTGAACTTGTTGATATTCCGGTGGGGAGGAGGGTTCAGGGGAGGGAGTTGGTATGGGCCAACATAACAGTTGACCTGGCTGCTCCGAGAGGAGCGCCAGGTACGTCTTGACCCTTCGGTGGTCAAGGATGTAGTGTGTGTGTGTGTGTGTGTGTGTGTGTGTGTGTGTGTGTGTGTGTGTGTGTGTGTGTGTGTGTGTGTGTGTGTGTGTGTGTTTTGCCAAGCACATTGTAGGTTGAAGAAGTTGATGAAGACTTTGTTCATGAGTCAGGTGGTGAGGTGACATGCCAAGACACTTACACAGCACACAATGCACTTCTAAACCATTGTCTTATAACATTTTACATTGCAATTTCTATTTTAAAATTAATTGATACATGATGGCTCGACTGGGCGACATTTGCATAGACAACTGATCAATGAATAAACCAGGGCATATGGAGACTCATTATGCACTAGTGATGTCACAAAGCTTTGAAACTGCAACCACATAAATTATCACAACCTGTACTCAAATGTACTAAGTTAACCCTTAGCCCCATGTGAGGTGCTGGTGGCAGTAACCCCGTGTGAGGTAAATCCAGAGAAATCAACTTTCCAAAAATAATTTTAACCTTTTAAAATGATAAAACAATAAAAAATAAGTAAGAAAAACTATATATTGAGCCTCTAGAAACTTCCTGGCAGTCGGAGGGAGGGAGGGAGGAGGAGGAGGAGATAAAAGACAGTGTTGGTTTGATGCTCGTGGGCCCTCCGCACTTAGCAGCTTTTTAGCTTCGCCTTTGTGTCGGGGTGGCCAATAATGTATATGTTTACCGATCTTGATAATTATTTGCTATAATTAATTAATTTAGAATATTTTATTTGCATTATTTTTCATAAAAAGTGTAGCAACTCACCAGTCGGTCTGGCTGTCTGTGTGTTTGGTGAGAGCAAGTACAGGCATCCCCGCATTCGGAAGGGTTCGTCCCTTAAAATTGACCGTGTCGTGAAATTCGTCTTGTGACCTATTTTCATTAACTTCCATTATAAAACTGGAATCCGTTCCTCACGAATTTTTTCGGCCCCAAAAAGTAATTCAAGCACTTTTATGAATGAAAATAAACATTTATAAACACATACAATACAGTACATTCAATAATTTATGATATACCTTCTTAAAACATCAAGTTTAATATCCAATGTAATGCCTTTGCGGCTTTTTTTGCACTGCTGCTGTCACTTCCTTGATGGCCTCTTTCAGTCATCTTGAATAAGATTATTGCACTGTACAGTGGTCCTCGGTTAGCTAACATCGGTTAATGAAAATTCGGTTAGCAATTACCTTCCATAAGAAAATTCAATTTGGTTAACATTCATGCAACTGTCAACATGTTTTAAGCATTCTCAACTGGTAGATTAGTCCGTCAATACAATGTCGGTTCTAGGGCTTAAATTCGTTTCCCCATTTGAGTAAATATCAAGAAGGTTGTGCTATTAAATATTTTTCCAAGCTTTATATTAAAATTATTAGTAATTTTAACACTTATTTTATAATTGCATTACAGTGGTCCTCGGTTACGAGCACAATTCGTTCAGAAGGTTGCTTTCGTTAACATCGTTAACGAAATCATTGTTTCAATGGGTTTTGGGTAATTGGTTCCAGCTCACCGAAAATTAGATACAAACGAAAAATAAATGCAGTAAAGTACACTTACTTTGAGGGTGTGCATGTAGAAGGCTCCTGGTTGATGATGATGATGATGGGAATTAGAAGTGGGGGTGGGAGAAGGGAGAAGAGAAATCACCCCATGCGCCATTTCACCCATAAAATTTTAGTTCACTTGGTGCAATTCAAGATTATTTTCTTTAAATCAACACTGCACTGCATATATTTTTATCAATATGTAAAATATATTTCAAAGTGACCAATAATTTGACTGAAACACAGAAAAAAAAAGAGTTTGTTGAAAAGTCTCAAACAAGATGTTCCTTCCTCTGAACCTGTAAACAAACTGACGCCAAGCTTGGTGTGTTGGTGTACTGTTTAGTCGCATATAAAACTAGTTTCCTGTACTTCAAGTTATTTCAATAATTGTTAAAATGACTAAAATTTAATATAAAACTTTTCAAATGATTGAATAGTAGTACAACCTTGATATTTACCAAAATGGTAAGAATTTTTAGCCTAAGACCTTACGATATTGTAATATGCAAGCGAAACATGTTGGGCTACGTAAGGAATTAGATTGTCGGTGCTCGTTAACGAAGTGAAGAATCTTATGGAAGTGGTTAGTTAACAAGCTAGATTAACCGAGGATCACTGTACAGGAACTAGTTTTGAGTGCGCCCATCAGCCACTTCACTCACCCACCAAGGCGTCAGTTTGTTTGGTTCTGTTCAGTGGAGGTAACATTTCTTGGCCTTCTTGAACATAAACTTTTTTACGTTTACAGTACAATTATTGGTCATTCGAAATTGATTTAACATCTTGATAATATATAGCGCAGTGCAGTGTTGATTTCAAATTAATCTTTAATTAGAGCAATTAAACTTAAAATTTTAGTGGTGAAATTGTTATTGAATCCAGCATGGGTCCGAAATCTAGAAAGGATTTCAATCCAGGTAAAACAGGGAAATCATAAAGAAACATGAAGAAGGCATTAGAACAAATGCT